CACCGCAACCTCCGCCTCCTGGGTTCAGGCAATTCTCCTGCCTCAGCTTCCTGAGTAGCTGGGATTACAGGCACGCACCACCATGCCCAGCTAATTTTTTGTATTTTTAGTAGAGACGGGGTTTCACCATGTTGACTAGGATGGTCTTGATCTCTTGACCTCGTGATCCACCCGCCTCGGCCTCCCAAAGTGCTGGGATTACAGGCTTGAGCCACCGCGCCCGGCCCTATAGTTTCACTTTTATTTATTTATTTTTTAGACAGAGTTTTGCTCTTGTTGCCCACGCTGGAGTGCAATGGTGCAATCTTGGCTCACTGCAACCTCCGCCTCCTGGGTTCAAGCGATTCTCCTGCCTCGGCCTCCATAGTAGCTGAGATTACAGGCGCCCACCACTACGCCTGGCTAATTTTTTCTATTTTTAGTAGAGACAGGGGTTTCTCCATGTTGGCCAGGCTGGTCTCGAACTCCTGGCCTCAGGCGATCCACCCGCCTTGGCTTCCCAAAGTGCTGGGATTACAGGAGTGGGTCACCACACCAGGCCTATAGTTTCATTTTTTACATTTAAAGTTTCGGTCCATTTGGAACAGATCCTGGTGTGCGCAGTGGGAAGTGGGGACTCGTTGCTTTCGGTGTGCCTACCCACTTGTTCCAATACGATTTACTGAAAATTCCATCTCTCCCCTTCTCACTGACTTAAGGAGCCACTTTAATCATATGCTAAATTTTCGTAGATCTATTTGGGTCTATTTCTGGGCCTTCTATTTTGTTTCTTAAATCTGCCTCTCCAGGAGCTCCTGCCACACGTTCAGTTCTCAAGGCTTTAGGGTCTATTTTAATAACCGGGAGGATTAGAATATCCCTTCACTGCTTTTCCTCTTCAGTTTCCCTGGCTCTTATTTTTTCATGTGAAATTTAGAAACCATCTTAGGGAGCTCTGAGAATGAGGGAATCAGTTGGTGGATTTACTAGAATGTTAAAATTATAAATTAACTTTGGGGATAATGACAGTTTTATGTTTTCCTACTTAAATCTATGAAATGCCCCCTCTGTTGTTTCTTTTTTTTTGAGACAGAGGTTCACTCTTGTCACCCAGGCTGAAGTGCAATGGAGCGATCTTGGCTCACTTTTAACCTCCACCTCCCAGGTTCAAGCGATTCTCCTGCCTCAGCTCCCCAGGTAGCTGGGATTATGGCTGTCCACCACCATGCCCGCTTGGTGTATTTTTAGTACAGACAGGGCTTCGCCATGTTAGCCAGACTGGTCGCAAACTCCTGACCTCAGGTGATCCGCCCACCTCGGCCTCCCAAAGTGCTGGGATTACAGGCATGAGCCACTGTGCCCAGCCTCTTCTTCCTTCTCTTCTCTTTTCTTCCTTCTTTCCCTCCTCCTCCTCCTCTCCCTCCTTTTCTTCTGTCTTAAGGGATTTTAAAATTTTTCCTCAAATAGATATTGAATATTCTTACTATGTTTATTCTTGGCATTTAATCTTTTCGCTGCAGTTGTAAATGGAGTTGTGTGTAAAGCTTCTAACAGGTCGCTGTGTGTTGCAATGAAGATGAGAGACAGTTTTACATTCATTTTACACCTTGCTGTGATGCCAAATTCTCTTATTGTCTGCAGCTTCTTCAGCAATTCTCTTGGGTTTTCCAGATCATCTCAGATAGTTTAATCCTTTCCGATTTTTACTTCTATGCTGTTAAAAATAGTTATCTTTAATTTTTCAGCTTTAAATAGTAATTTCTGATTCATTTAAAGTCCCAGCTGCTACAGATAATCCAAGAACTCTTTCCACTACCTACCTTCTTTCCCTCCTTCTCCTCTCAATTTTACTTAAATGAATCTTTTACATATTATTGGAGCACATAATATTTAAATTCTATACTGAC